ACGAAGTTATTCCGCTGGTATGTATTTGATATTTGTGGACAGCAGGTGGGTCAGTTAATATATTTTAATATATTAACAGACTTTAAGAAAGCTTATAATTTTCATTTCAGGCTCGACAAAGGCGCTAAGCGCCGAAAGCTCGCCAAAAAGGCTTAAACTTTTGCAAAACTTTTGCAAACACTCATTTTTGCAATTTCTTTTGTAGAAAGTTTTGAGTCTTTTGCAATAAAATTTTGAAGTCTCACATTGTTTATACACATTTAGATGGTTGAAGTGGTAATTGCCGTTTTTTAAACTCTACAACATCACGAGGGTTACACAAAATGGTCTTGGTTAGGGGCGAAGCAAGTGACCATACTCAACATTCTTGTGATAAGCGCTTTTCATGATTTGATCTAATGAGACGCTATGTGATATCAAGTTGGCTGCTGAACCTGCAATGTATAATCTACCAAAGGAGTGCATAAAGAATAATGGGGAGAAATCGGTGAAAGCGTACCCACCCCCCCAAATGAGGGAACGTATGTAGGGTCAAGCTAAGCGTGAAGAAACTTTCGAAACACAATCTCCTCCCCTCCCCTTACCAGAAGTCCATAAAGCGACAGTCTGTAGAATATCAAGTATAAAAAAGTTGCTTATCTCTGCAAGAAAACCTTTCCTGTGAAAAAAAAAACGCTGCCTCATGACTCGTCTCCCTCATGAGAGTCGTTCAACGACAGAAAAGTGGCGACAACACTTCAATGGATCTTCCAAAGGAGAGAAAAAACATGAATAGCATTGAAAACGCAGCAGCTGTGAAATGACTAAGTCTTTGGGATTGAATTGGAAAGGCTCAATAATCGACTTAGGAGAGACTTTGGAATGAGCATACTCAAGTGACTATATTTTTTAAATACTGGTATTTTTTGGCATTTGAATTTGCAGAAAGATTAATGTAGATGAATGATTTTAGGACTGGAATATCGAAACAATGAGTGCGAGGTTTACCAGTTTTTCAAGGCTGTAATTCTTCATGTTAGACAAATTTGAAGGACTTGCCTTCGAGTAGAGGATAAGAACGAAGGTCAAAGAAAGGGAAAATTGCATAGTTGGGAGGCAGGCGGACCTTCTGAGGGTGCTAACGCGCAATTGTCAGCGAAAGATTCGTCGGCGATCTAGCATGGCTCACTTTAGCGCGGTTGGCGGGGCACGCCCACCGACTATCTGATCACTCGCCGCAGGTCTATACGTGGCGAGTGATTAGATAGCTGAGAGAGCGTAGTGTTGAAGAGGGCACAGCGATGAGAGTCGCATCAATGCTCAAATCAACGGGCAAGGAAGGGGTCCCATTTCTCGGGTTCTGGGCCGTTTCTCATGGTTCTTCTTTATCCCTCTCATGACCACACCTAATTTCTAGTGAGGTAACTTTTCATCGTAAATTCTGCCTCTGAATTGCATATCATCCAGTTCAATTACCTGCTGTTTTACTTCTCCTTGCTCTGTTCCGATTAAAACGAATATCATATAGAGTGTCGAATAAACAACTAAATGAAAACTACATCGCATGATGTGTATGATTATAATTAATATTTGTGAATAAATATGAATATAACTAAGAAAAAGTAAATATAATAACTTTTTTTTTTCGAATTCCTTATGAGGGGCATCAATCAGTTTTGGTGTCATCGTAGTCACGCAGACTTGCTGTTTCGGCCTAACCATAAGCAGTTTCTTTGCCTCGTAATGTTTTTGCGTTCTTAATTATTCTGTTGTTGTCTTCCATTCGGTCTGCTTCACTGAGTGTTCGTCCAGGATCGGCCTTATCTTTCGACAGCTTTCAAAAATAGGAAGCTTCTTATCGGCAGAAACCACATACGCTGTGCTGGTGTTTTTAGAGCCTTATCAGCTTTTTGAACAGCCCACAGTTCATCTACAAGCTACCATAAGCAGTAGTATTTGGCTTCTCTCACTGTCTCCATCGCTCCTATGGAACATTACAATTTTTGCGCAGCTCTGGTAACCACATCTTATCCTGATCTTTTCGAGAGCTTCGCAGCTCGGCCCATAGTGAGATCGGTGCTTGATTTTGAAGATCTGTGAGCTGTTAATTCATACTGAACGCTAAAGGACGATTAGGTAGATATGGGCCATGTTCAACCAACTTTATGCGTGGTGGACAGATGAGAGGCCACGTTCGTTCCTTGCACTACCTTCACCGCCTGGAAGTTTTTTTTTCTGAATTAGGCTTCGTGCCGGGCAAAGAACTTTATGCATCGGCTCCCTCATTTGGACGATGCATATGAAATAGGCAAGCTTCCGAAGTTTATTACCATAGAGAATCATCGATTCGCATAGTTGTGTAGCCCTTCTTTTTCTTCCTAAATTATACTCTTTATACTTTCTCCTAAATTGTTTTAGCGACCATATTACAATATAAAGCTATACATATTAATAAATATAATCAACCATATACGCATACCTATACCGATACTTATACCGACGGCATAGGTAGGATGCACTTGCTATTTAACAATGTTTGTTGTGTTGAATTGTATTGTGCAATGTTTTTCAGTTGATCTGAAGAAGGGCTTAGGCCCGAAACGTTATCAGTAAAGTTTTATGAAAAAGAGTCTTCGATTCACATATATCCTGCATCGAAATTGTTTACAACTTGGTTTGGAGGTGCATTCGTTCTTTTCTTTTGTTTACTATCGATGCCTATTAGGTTCCACACAATTCCCTGTGCGTCTCTACCGACTGTTCATTCATAAATAGAGTTATGTAGGATGTTGATAAAGATATATAGTACTATGTAGAATATCATGAATTGTTCACCCGTGTCCATTTTAGATAAAATAGCAGGATATCTGTATTATATTACTTATGTTCGCATACAGTGACTTATTTTTTATAACATTTTTTGTTCCTGTTACGCGTAGAGAATGTAAGGGTTCGGTCAAAACAACACTAATACGAGAAGGACATGTTGCTGCCGTTTTGCGGCAGGTGCATACTTACACTGCTGATCCAACGGCAGCAAATTCCCGAAGATTGCCGCAATATTGCACCGATTATCGCACCTTCCTTTTGTTTTTCGACCGTTTTTTTACTGTCGTATGATGACTTCGCACAGCGTTAAAACAGCTCTCTTCCCCAAGAAGATAATAAGTCATGATTGCTCAAAATCAGGTGTGAAGCTGAACTAACGGAAAATCACTTGTAGCGTTTGACGCGTTTAAAGTCGCGTAAGGACATCAAGAAGATGTGTTCTGAAGCACAGGTCGTGTGAGCCAGTACAATAGCAGCAAACTGGCAGTTACTGATCGCGCACATGGGCAGCGGATTCCAATCCTGATCAGCACGCCGTCCTCATGGCCAACGAGCCCTGGATCCTCCGCGGCGGGCCGGATATGAATTCACCAGATTTACTTAGCAGGGTGAAATACTGACCTATGCCTGAGTCGAGTTTCCAAATCTTGTGTGCATGGATGAATTCCATATAAGTGTCACCTACGATAATGAACGCAATCTAAGCTGATACATGCGTTATCATGAAGGTGGGCATCCCAAACAAGGATTGAGCAAGGCGCAAGGTTCATAATATTATCCCTTTACCTTGCCCAAACGGACTCCTCGTAACTGGTACAGTCAAAGCAAATTGTAGTTGTTTTTATGAAAAAAATTAGGATAATATAAGCGGGATTCCCTGGGATTGCACACCTTACTGCTCTAGCACGAGTGCTTGCTCAACTTGGAAAATGAACGAGATGGCCGACGCGTGCACATTACCGGTACCTGATACTGCAATGGTTGCGCCTCATAGGCCCTGTAGAGTCTGACATGTAACGCTATATTTACAAGGGGGAAGGATGGGGGGGGGGTTGGGGAAAAATGCCAGTTACGGAGATTCTGTAGTTGTGGAGACAGCAGTTATAAAGACTCATTCCTGTTATTTATGTAGGGATTAGGGTTCCTTATCCAAAAATGGAATCGTAAACGATGTGCATTTGAGAAATTAGGTTTTCTGAACAGGGTATTCTCTAGTGAACCGTGGAACTATTAGAAAGGGCTTTAACCACTCCACCATCTCTTCCCCGATACTTCTCGCTTAGTCCAAAAAATAAGTGAAAATGAAAGAAATGGAAATGCTTGCTGTAATCCTAACGTAATTCTTTTAGAAAACATTGCGGTGGAAATGGCATCTAGGAGATTTCTCGCTTTGCTGTTCTGCTGCAAATATCTTTCGGCGATTTATCCGCCTCCGCTTTGTTTGTTGAATCAACTGGCAGCGGTCGTTAGCGCGATGAAACTCTTACGTCAAAATCTTCGAGATCGGAATGCCCCCGCCGATCTTTTTAACCTTCCTCATCATATGAATGAATTTCTGCAAGAGCTAATCATCTCATTTGCAACAAATTGAACTCTTTTTCCTCTGAAATATATATCTCGTAAGGATTTTTCTTGGGCAATTACGTATATCTTATCTAGACAAATTACGTCAAGGCAGGGTTTCCGCTGTCGTAAAGACGAGTTAGTGTCAGTGTTTGTCGTTCCCAAAATGTGCCAAGGTCAAACGCATGTTGAGAAAACTACAACAAGGAAACTCGCATTTTGTGATTTTGGAGAGGATAGCGTGAGATATGGAAGGAAGGAGATTTTTCTACTGAGGAATTTCAGAAAAATTGCCGTTTCTACGGGCATATAAGTTGGATATGCTCTTATGTTATAACGATACTCGAATAGAATGCTCGGAACAAGTCCCGGAAACAACATACCCTCCCCTTCAAAAAGCCAGAAATTGTGCGGTGCAGACCATACACCACAAGTGACGACGGCCTCCAAGTAAATCTGGTTAGTAGTGGTTCATAGTGATAGCTGATTTTTGGTAAATGATAGTTGTAATTTTGTGTCAACTTTTGTAATTACTGTCACGCTTCAAGTTGCGCTATGAGGAATGCGCCTGTAGCGCCCAAATTCCGCTTAACTCGGCAGCGAAGCAGCTCACTTCGCGCTGCCCGTGCCACAGGGTTAACCATCGTGTTCGCCTCTTCCGAAAAAATTGCGACCCCCTCCCCAAACCTAGGAGAGTCACGATGCGACCCCCACCACTATCAAACTCTCGTAGTAAGCTACCCTTCATGAAAGTGAGCAACAACATGCATTTCGATAGATGGCGGGATAAAAAGAAGTGTATGGTAGCAATTTCCTGGCCAGTTGGTCAGTTGCTCCTAAAAAGGGACCATTTCCGTACTTTCCGTCATTCACTGTGCGTAACCTAACGAAGTATTGAGCGAATTGAGAGCTCGATACCGCTACTACACGAAGTATCAAATGGAATTGGCGTTACCGCAAGATACGAGGCATTGCGGTGACAAAACATTTGGCACCGCTAAAACATATCCTTTATGTTAGAAGGGAATAAGCCTCAGGCGTGAAAGGTGAGACCCGGGGGGCGCTGGACACTTTCGTTTCCCCCTGAGCTCCTGTTTTAACGAGACTTAAACTTGATTGTCCTCAATGTTCCTGCGCGAATGGACGGCGTACACTATTTAGAAACACAGTGGTTACGCTGGACTAAAGCCTTGAAACCAGCAGGGAGCGGCAGCGAAGACGCGCAGAGCGGGTTTGAAGGCTGAGTTTCAAGCAATGTAGTCGACCGATTCTTGACTTCCCTCTAGGCTTAATCCCCAGCAGATGTCAGACTGCGATAAAATTATGCGCTACATTTATTAAAATTCGGCGATGAAAACCACCTCGCTGTCGCAAACGAGATTCGAGATTATCCGAGACTTCTCTTTTAATGCTTCTGGTTGGAAATAGAATGTTCAGATAAAAACGCTGACTTGACGTCGGCTGGCCACAGCACTAACTAACTTGACCACTACACATCTTTGATTAGATCGCCTCCTCCTGTCGACTTTTTCATTCACGATTTTTAATTGTGATAGACCTAATGGCTATTTTTCGCCTTTTTTTAGTCATTTTTTTCATCACGTGGGTAATATTAAAATTGGTGGGAAGATGTTGAATGATCGCGGGGTTTAGAATAATGAATCAACGCGAACTTCTTCTGCGGGGCTGTCGATCATGCTGACCACTTCACTTTTTTCTATGTAATCTTCAGCGCAGGGATTTTGATCGAGGACCTAGACATCGCCATGATTGAATCGTCACGCACCGATATTGATAGCGTTTAGGAAAATCCGTGGAGAGCAGCACATAATCTATCATCTATCCTCTTGATGAATTATTCATGGATCAAATCACGCCAGGCGATTTAATGATGCGTTACGGTGGCTGGAATGCTAAACATTCATTGTCAATCTACACAACTAGTTAGACTGCTTACTCGGCTCACATTTTTTGTTCGGTTCTTATTCTGCTCGGTCCGTTGTTTCAGACATAGTGATCTTAGTTCTTGTCAACTTGAACTGATTGGTTTTTCGCGAATGTGCTCATAACTGTTTGGCTTTAGCGCTGCGTTGATAGGCTTTAACAATGTCACAGGGTTAGTCAGCCAGGAACCTCGGCAATGGTGTTCTTTGAACTGGGCGCCTATTCCATTAGGTCATCCTGCGAATTCCTGTTCTCCCTCGATGGTAAGAACGATTTTCCATTCATCCGCAAAGGATGAGACCGCGTTTTAATGGGCTTCCACTCCTCTACAACAGAGCTCTCCGTTGTTGGGGCACCTAAACTCGAAAATGCTCTCCATTGATGGGCTCAACACATTCTATTGAGACCGAGTTAGGTTTGTGTAAAGTGATGTGGTAGCTGCGGTAAAACTATGGATCAAATCTGCGAGTCCTACATCCCTTTCAACCAGGGTCAACCGTCACGTTCGAACATTTTCGGGATTTTTGCGACCCCCCTCCCTCTCGAGGGGGTCCAGTTGCGACCCCCCCCAATACAACCAGCCTTCCCCCACCGCGACCTCTCCCTCTTCTATAGTATTTGATTCTGAGACCAGTTGACACAGCCCAAAACCTACCTAAAACTCCGAAACTCCACCCACTTTTTCCCCAAAAATAGCCGTCGCGGGGGATATATACAACCAGTGAAACGGCAACTTTTTTCGCACGCACCTATGCCCTGCGCCCCTGATGACCAAACGTAACCAGCAGAACTGCGCAATGCGACCCCTCTCCCCTCCCAGAACACAAATGCGACCCCCCCCCCCCCCGTTCGAACAGTTTGAACGGACGGTTGACCCTGCTTCCAGCCCTTTCCTTGACCAGCACTTTACTTGAGTGTATCGCAACATCCGCCTCTGCGCCGCTTCTATTTAATAATTTGTCTACGGTAAGGGCAACCTGTGCATAGCGGGTTCGCATTATTTAGGAGAAAAAAAGACAAAATCAGTATGTCAAAGGCGGAGTAAACCACACGCTAGGCCGAGCTACATATCTGTCCAACGGGACTACATGGCGGTGCGTTAGTTTCGCAAAACACCTTGGAAACCCATGCTCGCAGTTCCCAGTACTGCACATGTTGCTGGCGCAGTATCCTGGGAAGGGGTCATTGAAATGCTACCACCATACCGTCCTAAAAGTCGAGTACGTTTGGGCTAGGCCTGCCTTAAAAAAGGGTAGCCTGTGGGCCGAAGCCTTTTCATGGACTGGGTCTGGATATTGCGATTTTTTCCAGTTTGTTCTCCCTCTAGAATATCACCAAATGCGCTGCTATAGCTTGTTGCTACACCGTTTCAATAGTTTGCGAACCCGAAGGAGACTCAGTGAGTGTGTACTTCAATTGAGGGCCAAACGAAAGTTCTGTGGTCTGGCACAAGATAGCCGAATTATAACAGTGGTCACCATCATAAACTGGGTGCTCTTCTTCTACAAGGTGTGGTGTTGGATAGATACCGAACATTTCTCGTTGGCAATGAGTCGCCTTGGTTATTCGCACCCTAGACCTTAGGCGTTCGTCGATTCTCTGAACGGTACTTTTTGTCCTTTCCGAGCGACTCGACCGAAATAAGGAACGGAACTCGATGAAAAGCAAAGGAGCTTGATTGACTTTCTCGGAGAGATCAAAATAGCAGCCTAGTCGCCAATGTCTACTGAATGAGCTCTATATCACCATTAGGCCTTATTCATCAGCTCAATGTGTGTATACCGTGATTCGCTCATTAATTTATCCAAGTGGTTGCGTCGATGTGTGAGCCAGAGCCACTTGGGAAATCAGGAGATGTGCAAACTCCTGAGGGATATGGTGAAGCAAAACTTGACATCATATATGATATTTTCCCATGCCATTTTTTATGCTCGTAATCACTTTATTTCCTGTTACTCCTTCGCCCCCAGGCGCCCATGTTGCAGTTTCTGCATGGGTTTCAAGATATCGGTAGGACTACCAAATCGATGGCTGAAGCCGGATCCCCTCTAGAGGAGGTTCGATCCTGTACTTGGACCTGGATCATATGTGTCAGTGGCGTAGTTCAATTGGAGCTCCATCCTTCTTCACCAAATAAAGCTCGATTCGAATTAGATTAGATAGCAACTAATAACTATTAAGGTTACACAACTCTTTTAAGGCGATATTTTACGGTTTTCGGTAAAAAGCTCATTGAGTGTCTTCCGCAATCTTCTGGCTGTTCTGAGATTTTGTTTGCTCGCCGTGAAGTGAGTGTTAAGTGCTCTCGAGTTTCTGGGAAATACTTGATGCACTTATCAGATTGACTTCGGAAAGCTTTCCTGTTATGGTGACGTTTGCCATACTCTTGAGAGACTTCGTAATCTGTTCTGAAAGTTTTATCGATTTATGTGAAGTCGGGATTTGGGACCTGATAAGGTGATCCCAGTAAGGGTTACATATATTGAGGAGTTCTCGACTTTGGCGTGTAAATGTGGGGGCAAGAAAATTCAGCTTCAAATATCGATTCCTCTAGCTTTTTTACCTTGTCTTTTTTTAGTACTCATCATTGCTCCTCGAAACTCTCCTTCTTCCGCCTTCCGTTTTCCGTTTTCCGTTTTTCATCGTCTTCCTCCAATGGATTTTCATGCGTCCCGCCAAGAAATAAAGAATATCGTACCTTCATTCTTCCAAATATAGAACGAAGAACTAGGTAGAAATGAGTTTTATATGAGTTTTCGTTTCGTGAGTAACAACAAGTAGCTGACAGTGATTCTTTTTCGCACTGTGTAATCTGGACAGAAGATATCCCGGTCTCCTCTTCGAATCTTGAGCCAGGGAGCTTATGTTAGGAGCCGTTATGCTACCGAAAACAACCACAGTCCTTTTTCCCCGTACATAGCATTCACCACCCTCATTTTGCATTTAAGCGAATAATAGAGTTTATAAATTTTACCGCGCGCACTTCAGCCTTTGATGCGCCTAAGCAGCCCCACGTTGGCAAGCACAACTTAAAAAATCGGATATTGAAGAAAAAGATTCTCTGTTGTGCTGTCTCCACAAAAAGAGTTAGGCTTATCAGAAAATGTGCGCAAAATGTTTTGCGATCCCACATTGTCCCTTTTCCACTGAATCGAATTTCATCGAAACTAGTTTGTTGCGAATTCGCGTGCCGCTGCTCTGTCTGACGATGTAATAGATGACCTCAGTCGCCGGCTGTTTCTGCCCGTTTTTCTCTTAGGCTTTCGACTGAACAACAAAACCAAGAAGTGGCTTTCTTGAACTCTTCAATCGCCTTCGCATATGTACTTATCTATATCGTCTCAAAATTGTACGTACACTGAATGATGATCTAACCTCTACATTGAGTTCATAGGTCAAGGGTTGCGACTTTCACCGTGATCGCTGTTTAACACCTAAGTATGTGCCTATCATTTATCTACTACCTTCACTACCTCAGCTGACGCTGAAGTGACCTCTTTAGTGCCCCTTACTTTCATCACGACCAGTCAGTGATCACAAGAACCAAATTTTGACCACGATGTAAGCTGCAAATCATTACGTCCGTTCAGCGTAATAACTTCGTATAGCATACATTATACGAAGTTTACTTCAATAATGATAGGTCATTTGGGCAGCCCTGAAGTTTTCGAATCGGCCCTGAGGAAGGTGAGAGGTGAAACTTAGCTGAGAGAGGAGTTAATCCATCCAGTTCAAAATTATGCGTTATTTATCATGACTTCCACGAACCCTTTTAAAGCCATCACATCAATCCTCTCCCAGGAAAGGTATGATCGTCTCGCACTCTTTTCCCAAATGAAACTGTAGAACAAGCGTTTATTCGTCCGCAATGTAGGGGTCCGCTTTTCTGGTATGTTGACGCCACTTTTCCCGATTATGTGCTTGATCGGGATGAAGGCCAACTAATTTCAAGTCCTCATGCAACGTATCGAGCCATCGCTGCTTCGGGCGTCCTTAGGCCGCTTTCCGGGCACGTCAAGGTCGAAGGCAGTCTTGCGGACACTCCTAAAGGAAATTGGTTTCTTCAGAAAAGTTCTACATGATTTTCGCCCAACATTCTTAATGTGACTTTTCCACCTATGTGGCGAAAATTTTGTTGCGGCCAACACATGAGCTTTAGAGGCTAGAGTTTCTATTTCTGACGCGTTACCGGTATTAGCGGGGGCGAGGCCTTTTTCTTTCGAAATTTACCATCATTTGCGAATTAACTCAAAGGCAGTGAGTGGGAAGCTTCGAGTGGATCAAGAATGAAAGTGCGGATGCGATGGTGCAACAAGGGTGAAAAAAGCAAAGCAATCCGTCAAAATCCCACGAAATTTCACCCCTATACTTCATCTGCTGATTTTGGACTGGTTTACGGTTAAGTGAATGTTTGGACAAGGGTACTTTAGAGGCATGCTTGGAACAACACAGGATATAGCCATTTAGTTTTAATTCGACGTTAAAATCGAATAAAACCAGGCGGTAACGCAAAACACCAAATGTGGGCGAGTGGTTTTGAGGCGGTGCAGTATCTTTGTTTGGGGCCTGAATGCGCTTCAACAAACAACTCTGGCTGCAAAGTGGTACACTTCGCTTCCTTTGGCGCATACCTACCACTACCATTGCCTCACACACTTCGCCAGTGCACACCCCTTTATTGTAACCGCTGCCTTTAAGTTATGACGACAATGTTGTGAGCCTTTTTGCAAAACAGCAAGTCATTTACAACGTAGTTGAAGGGCTCTAACCTTTGAGTCCGAATAATTCATCTGCTCCAGAGCGAAAAAAAGAACCTTGAGGTCATATTCAGATGACGGACCAGAGACATGGGTGGTGGCTTTATTTCATTAGAGAATGATAAGCCTATTTCGCAGCGCTCTAGAGGTCGCTCAAGACAGAGGTATCCCCAACTTCAGTAAAACTGGAAATAGACAATTCCCCAGAGATTCGCAAATCAATAGTTAACCCGAGGCATCCTGAATGAACGTTTTGCGAGGCAGTGATAGCGTGGCGCATTTCAAAGTACCGGTCAGCGCCGGAATCACCCATTTGATTCTCTTGAATGATTCTGCACTTGAAATTTTCGATTATTATTTAAAACCCTCACTTATTTGTCCTCATTTAGGAGATGTTACTTCTTTTTTAGTGAATAGATCAATTCAATAGCAATTTTCTAGAAACAGTTTTTATTCTACCCAGAAATAATACTCTTAATATTCATAGTTCTTTCTATTTTTATCCATTTTATCATTTTTTGATTTCATAATATTCTGCTAAGGGCTTGAAACATCTCTCACTCTGAATATGGAGTCATTTTCCATTCTGAATGAATTGAGATAACTTAATATTCTAATAATAAAAAATGGAATTTTTGTGCTAAGGTTACTCATAGAACGTGCTAAAGAAATTCTACGAAAATCTATAAAAACATTCATATCAGGCATGTACCTTTCATGGTTGGCAAGCCATTGTTTTTGCTCAAACGTGCACTTTCTAGTACTCTAAACGTCATTATTTCCTCGTGGAAATCGGTTTCGTTCCACCTGTCTCTTTGAAGCAATGAATAGAAAAAAAGTGCCGCAATGTTTCACAAGAATGCTGGGTTGTGAACAAAACTTTCGCCCCAGGCGGGACTAGAACCCGCACCTCTCGCTTTCCGGGCAAGTGCGCTACCAGTTACGCTACCGGGGCACCATTTCATTCCAACTCAGCTTTTCATGGTATACGTACCATAGCTTTCAGCACTCACACGTCTAACGTGTTGAGCCGGTTAGCCGATATCGGCAATGACCGCGAGGCTGAAAGCTTTAGCAATGAATTTTGACTTGTTTTGTTTGTTAACTGCTGTTTTAACGCGCAGTTCGCGTTACAAACAGCAATTTATTAAACAAAACAAGTCAAAGTGGCGCTAATATTCTAGAAGTGTTTCCGCGGCTCTTTAACGATAAATTTCACTCTACTGTAAGTAGAATGTTTACCTACTAATAAGTTTAAATTTTTCGATTCTCCTCTTTTTTCAAATATTGGCTTCCTTCCTCGAATATCGGCTCTTCTCTGAGACGAATCGTTTCCTGGCCATGCTTCTGACCAAAGCTCAACAAGTCTAAGGAAGCTAACTCTTAGCAGAATTCTCGTACCACGGTTGAAAGCAGGAGCAGAGCCGACTTGCTTATGTTGGCTTTTCATTGCTCCGTGGCGGCATCGGAAGTGCCCACGAGAAGAAACCACGGTGTTCTTGAAAGTGCAATTCAATCAGCTGATTAGATTGAGATGAGTTTTCGAGTAAATATAACTTAAACAGTTTTTGGGGATTTGTGTTTGAGCAGCACTTTACGTTATCAAACTGATTAACCTTTACCGGAACTGTGCTAAGCTCTCTGTGCTAAGCGAAGTAAAGCCGGAGGATAAGTTCCTAAGAGATAAGAAAATGAAAGCGTAGGCTGAGTTTGAGCGCATGCTTTTAGAGACCTGACGGAATCCTGAGGGACAATTCTCTAAGGAGACTTTTGCAGAGTAGTGAAGAGGTGAAGTAGAGCTCTAACTCGCTTGTAGTTGACCAGTTGGTCTCGCCAGCGGTGATGAGGTCACGGAAGCTTCACCAACAGAACTCGAATGGATAGCATATTTCAGAGGGTCCCACCGAATAGCCTCTGTGAATCTGACATTATTCTTTACCTAGAAACCTGAAGACCGAAGAATTTAGGAGTTTCTCCGATTTGAATTCTGATGAACACATTGGATAAGCTCATCGATTTGTCTCTGCGCAGTCTCTAGATAAATTGCTGCCCTTGACCGGCTTGGGCCGCTGTTCCAACAGCATGTGTGTAACTTTTCATAATTTTATGATTATTATTATTAATTATTAATTATTATCATTACCATTATTATTATTATGATTACTATTATTCTGGCTTGTTTTTGTTTGTTTTTAGACGAAAATTTTGTTCACAACTCAGCATTCCTGTGAAACATTCGCAAGGCGAACCGCGGCCAAAAACAGCAGTTACAAACATGAAAAGCTGAGTTGGAATGAAATGGTGCCCCGGTAGCGTAACTGGTAGCGCACTTGCCCGGAAAGCGAGAGGTGCGGGTTCTAGTCCCGCCTGGGGCGAAAGTTTTGTTCACAACCCAGCATTCTTGTGAAACATTATTATTACTACTATTATTATTATTGTTATTATTATTATTATTACTCACCAGTTAGGATGATGAAAAGATAAGCTCATTTTGATCTTTGTTTCCTTTTTTCGTTTTCTTGGATGGAGAGTTCAGGGAGATCCCTGTCCTTTCCATTCATGAAAACGTATTCAAGTAGCCCATTGGGACCACGGAGGCTCTCAATAATAAATATTTGCGAGCCTCCTACTCACCAGCCAGTAAACTCAA